TATTAAACATGGCACGTGGAACTAGAACAGTGAGCAAAATAAAGGGTTCAGTTCGACATTCCAACCACCTGAAGAAGGCTGGAGTGTACAATGGCTGAAACATTGTAATAAATATGGCGACAAAGATGAGGACAATAGTCCGAATAATGTAAATAGTGTACATAATACCTCATCTCAGAAATATAGACAGATATTGATGAAGTTTTATTTTGTGACATAATTACTGCCTGTTTAAAAGGAACTCTGAAAGTTTTAAGCAGGCAGTATAAAAGTCATTCAGTACAGTAGGGGTTTCTTCTAAGTCCCTATTAACATCAGTGAGACAGTACACCATGCTAGCTAAAAGCATCACCAGTAAAAATAAAATTCTGCTTAATGGACTGGGCTCTTTGGGTCCTGTCACTGGATCTAACTAACGCCTTTATCCACTGTGACATGTGTCTTTGATGACATCTGTTTATGAATTTCTGGGTATTATAAACCATTCAGCAACCATTTTTACTAGTGCTCATATTGCAATTTTTTTTTTTTTTTGCTTTTATCATGCATGTTTTTACCAGAGCTCATATTGCAATTTTTGTTGTTATCGCTTTTCTCTGGCACTCCTTATTACTGGTTCCCATATTGTATTCATTTCTATGCTTGGTCGGGTGCCAGAGAAAAGTGATAATAACAACAAAAATTGCAATATGAGCTCTGGTAAAAACATGATATGATAACAGAAAAAAAAATGCAATATAAACACTGGTTAAAAATGGTTGCTGAAGACATTAAGTTACTCAGAAAATCATACACAGATGTCATCAAGGACACATTGCACAGTGGATAAATGGATAAAGGCATTAGTTAGATCCAGTGACAGGACCCAAAGAATGTGAATTCAATACCTGGTTAAGGCAGTGGAGAAGTTGGGGAGGGGAATTAACAGGAGATAACTGATAACTGACATTCATTAAACATGGCACGTGGAACTAGAACAGCCTACCCCAGTGAGCAAGATAAAGGGTTCAGTTTGACATTCCAACCACCTGAAGAAGGTTGGAGTGTACAACAGCCGAAACGTTATAATAAATATGGCAACAAAGATGAGGACAATAGTCTGAATAATGCAAATAGTGTACATAATACCTCATCTAAGAAATATAGACAGATACTGATTAGACTTTTATTCAGTATTTTTTCAGATGTTTTGTTCTAGGCAAATTTTAACAATGAAGAATTATGACTGTTTTCAAATGAAAAAAAAAAAAAGAAGCAATATTCTGCCAGCATTGGATTGAGTAAAACTAACAAAGGGTCAATGGAAAAATTAATAATTCATGATCATATTGGAAACCAGTCTTTCAACGTAACATGAAAATTAAATAAATATGGAATCTATCGCTGGAAAATGAGGAAACTGAGAAAGCAGGAGAAGACTTTTACTTAATGGAAAAATTTCAACGTCAGATGGTATCATTTCTGTCTGTCTGGTATGACGAGTTATTATTTACATGTAATCTATTGGCTTGAATTTGGTGATAAAGAAATTGTGAGTTCAATCCCTGTGCCAGGCAGTGTGTACTTGGACTCAATGGAAATGAGTGAGCAATAACTGAGCAGTACTAAAAATAAGAACTAGACAAGATATCCTTAGATACAGTCAAGTGGAATGAGAACAGTCTAGCCCCGTAGATTAAATAAAGGGTTCAATATAGAAATAATAAATACAGAATATTGCTGGAAAAGGATAATTTAGGATCGTAGAAGAGACAAATGTTTTTTTAGGGAGCAGGGAATTAGAATTCAAGTTATTAAAGGTGGCCAACATGGTTGGTGACAAGAACATTTCAAAATTCCAGTACCTATTTTATATTTTATAATGTATTTTATATATATTATTCCAGTACCTCTTATATATTTTATAAGTACCTCTTTTATGTTTTATAATATATTTTATATTCCAGCACCTCTTTGACATTTTATAAGTATCTCTTTTATATTTTATATTCCAGTACCTCTTTTATATTTTATATATATTTTTCCAATACCATTTTTTATTTTATAATATATTTTATATTCCGGTATCTGTATTATATTTTTATATATTTTATATTCCAATACCTCTTTTATATTTTACAATATATTTTATATTCCAATTCCTCTATTATATTTTATAATACATTTTATAATATATTTTGTATTCCAATACCTCTTTTATATTTTAAAAATATATTTCACTATATATTTATATTCCAATACCACTTTTATATTTTATATATTTTACAATATATTTTATATTCCGATACACCTCTTTATATTTTATAATATATTTTACAATATATTTTATATTCCAATACCTTTTTTATATTTTATAATATATTTAAAACAATATATTTTATATTCCAATAAAACTTTTTATATTTTATAATATATTTTATAATATTTTTTATATTCCAGTGCCTCTTTTTTTATTTTATAATATATTTTATATTCCAGTATCTCTTATATATTTTATAATATTTTATATTTTATATACAAATCAATCAATTTTTTGTCAACACTTGCAATGCTAACCCTAATAATAAAACTAAATTATATATTTATAGTTTTCAATGGTCAAGTTTTCTTTCATCTGTTTTTTAATATGGTAGTAGCAGCAGCCACCTAAGACATTGTTGTTTTTATCTCCATTTGGGATAATTTTACTACATCATGAATCAGTTTACGAACCAGTAACAAACATTTACCAGACAGTTTTGGTATGCTTTTGAATATTTACTAAACAGGTGGATGGTGGAAAATTTTTCCATGTAAAAGTGGGCAATGGCACATAAAAGGTTGGGAAATTATCAGTGTAGATTATTTTGCATAGCAGAGAAATGCTTAAAGGGCATTGTCACATATGAAATATATAGAATTTATAGAATTTGGGGAGAATAGAATTGTATCTGTCATACATGATGATTTAAACCAATGATTCCCAATGTGTGGCACATGCACCCCCCGACCGGTGGGGTATGGTAATATCTTGGTGGAGCATATGTAAGATATGCACCCTTCAGCTTACTATACCAGCATGAGCGCAAATTTCATTTTGCATTATTAATTCATGATTAAAATGATCAAAATGTATTACGGAATAAGCTTTCATTCAACTATTTCAGTTCTTTATTATATGTTTTGAAACTATATATATTCAACTGTCTTTTTGTTTTTTTTTAAATTTTTCTCTTTCATGGACGCCATGTGTTTGGAGGCTTGTTTAGAGACCAAGTTTATGGCCTTTTAAGTTTCCTTCATGTGAATTGCAGTAGAATTTTGAATATGTAAGAATGAAATATTACAGCAGGGGGAAATCAGAATTTTAAAAATACCAAAGTGAGGCATGGCCCAAAATTGGTCAGGAACCACTGATTTAAACAAATGGAGATTATCCATATATTTGCTAGAATATTTTTCAAAAGGAAATGGGTTTTTATGAGTTGCAAACCTGAAAATGGTTGTAGAAAATATCAATTGAAATATTTTGATTATGATAAAAAAGTTCAGTCGACTAAACAAACACATCAAACAATTCTCAAAATAATCTAAGTACCTGAACATGAAATAAAAGACATCAAAATGTGTCAAAGATTTTCGTGAAAAATTCTTCCTTTAGTTGATATATTGAAGGAGATAAATGGTGATTTTACAAACTTTTGTAGTTCAAAAGGATTATTTTTTTTCCATTAACATCTCTGTTATTTTATACTACCTTCCTGTCCTCAGCCATATTTATTTACACTATTTACCTTATTTGGACTATTGTCCTCATCTTTGTCGCCATATTTATCACAATGTTTCGGACGTTTTACACTTTGGCCTCAAGGACACATGACACAGTGGATAAAGGCGTTAGTTAGATCCAGTGACAAGACCCAAAGAGTGTGAGTTCAATACCTGGTTAAGGCAGTGGGAATTAACAGGAGATAATTGATAACTGACTTCCATTACACATGGCACGTGGAACTAGAACAGTCTACCCAAGTGAGCGAAATAAAGGGTTCAGTTCAACATTCCAACCACCTGAAGTGTACATAATCCCACATCTCAGAATTGTAGACAGATACTGCAATGTTAAATTGTTTTAAAAAGCAATGAATTAGAATTTTAATAAAAATTTATTTATTAGATTGTTTATTTACAAGAATAATTTTATATTTACAACATTCTAAAAATAATGGCTTTCTTTATAGATTGCAAACCTGAAGACATTGTGCAAAATTATCAATCAAAACATTCTGATTACAATAAGAATAGAAAACTCAATTAATTAGACAACATTTAAAAATACTGTAACATTTCTCAATATTATTTAAGATAATCTAAGTGCCTGTTCATTAAATAATTCAAAATTTAAAATGTGTCAAAGATTTTTGCGAAAAATTCTTTTAACCTAGATCAATATATTCAAGCAGATAAATGAATTTGTTGCTTAATATTTTGTACAGGTTTTGTTTTTTGTTTTTTTTTTTTAAGATAATAATGGTCATCCTCGGTATGACGATAAACTACATCTGCATCCTGGGTAAGACAATAAACTACGTCCAGCAGCAGATCAGGAGGTTTTGTGGAACCAACTCTTAATTGCTGGTGTTCCTGGGGTCAAAATACTATGAAAGTGTAAAAATAGATTTTAATACCAGAAATACTTTCTAAAAAATTATTACCAGCAATACTTTTTTGAAAATAAATATTACCAGCAATACTTTTTTGAAAAAAAAATATTACCAGCAATAAAATTTTTGTCAGCATTAAATAACCTATCGAGGTTGATATACCATAAACCAAACCAAACCAAAGATAGTAATGGTTTTAATGATACAAGTATTACTAATTAACCCATAGCTAGGGGAAGAAGTGGATTCATGCCTTTCCCAAGAGTATTTGTGCATAAGTGAATATAACAAACCCAACTGGAGTTGGAACTCAGCTCTCTGATTAATAATCCATTACACCATCCACACATCCAAGCTTATGACAACTGGTATTATTCTCAAGTGGTCACCCATCTAGGTACTGACCAGGCTTGACATTACTTAACTTTGGTGATCATACGAGAACTGGTGCTTCATTGTCAAATAGCTGTAAACTTAGTTACATGCAGATATTGCCAACTAGACATCTATTACACTGCTCAGCAAAAAAGTTTTTGAATTGGTGTCGAGACACCAGACATATTTTTAGCTAATTTGAGGGCACTGAATCTGAAAATGACCTTACTTTTTCTTGGTTAGCTACCATTTTGGCTGTACAGAAATGCCTCTTTTTAGGAAAAAAAAAAGCATTTTTTACATTTGTTTTCTGTATATATATTAACCAATGACAATATTTCTAAAAGTAAAATCATAGAAATCTCTCAATTTGTATTTAAACCAACAAATATTAGTCTGCTTATTGAGAAATACTAATCAAATCCTAAGTCTTTAAAAATAGAACAATTGATTATACCAAGACCAACAAGTATTTTCATCAAATCATTTGATAAACTAACAGCAGAAATAAAACCTTTGTGAACATAAGAACTATGGAAAATTTTCCTCTTTCTTGATTGTCTGTCATGTTCAATGTTATTTAAGTCCCTTTTGATACTCCAGCAGTATCATGTACAATGGAATAGGTGCATTCAATTGGGATGTCTTTAGTTGGAGTTTCTTTCCATTTGTGAAAACAAAATGCTCTCAATGTGTTTGGTTTCCTTCCATAGTGAAAGGATAAAAGTGATGAGATAAATTTATGAATATCAAACAAGATTTTAGGGTTTCATTTTTTTGATGTCACCTTAATTATCAGGTTTACTAAATTGTATTACTGATAAAGTTTATCAGTTAATTTGAATTTTGTTGATGAATTGGAAAAATTTGGTAATTGTATTTTAAAATTTTTGACTCAAAAACACTTTTTTCTTATAAAAATAGTTTATTTCAGGTGGCTGATATAAATTGCTTGACCTTCCAGAAAATTGATGGGTTTCTATGACCTTTATTAACTAAATTTTGCAACCAGCCAAGATTGGAAATTTTTTTTCCAAAAGTGGGCAATTTCAGTACAGGAAAAATGGTAGCTAACCATGAAAAACTAAGATCATTTTTGGAATCAGCCCCCCCCTCCATCAAATTAGCTAAAAATTGTGTTTTGTTTCTTGGCACCAAAAATTGTGTTGACCAGTGTTATCACCAGTCAACAATTCTATGAATAGCCTGGTTCAGTATAAAATCATCACCAGTCGACCTTTCTTTTCAAAGGTGTCATTATACAGACCTTGTAATGGCTATTAAGAAATCATGTTGACCAGTATTATCTACAAATAACACAGACATTTTAAATTATGCTCATTTACTTAAGTGTTTTTCATATATAGCCATTTATAAGAGTATTTTTCTATTTAACCCTTAGGAGATGAGAGGGATAATCTATCAGCTAAAAACTTGAATGACAAAGAAGACGATTAAGCTGATCTTTTGGCTTGATAATCCAAGCCTCATGATTAGCTGGCCAGTATTTGTACCAGCCAATCAGATTGCTTCTTGCATATCTGGACCTTTCAATGGCAGATACTATGAGAGTTTGCTGTATTCTGTAATTTTACACCAATTTTTTTTGTTTTTGTTCCAAGTGAGGCCAAGAGAAAAGGGATCCATCTACTTGGCACTGAAACTCCAAATGAGGCTCCATCTTCAAAGGATTAATATTTCTGGCTCACTGTCTTCAAATGTGTGATCACATTTTACAAACATTAACTTACACAAAAAGAGAGACCTTCACGTTACAGATGAATATCATTCCTTTTCTGGTTGACATACCAAATGTGATTTCTTTGCAAAGGAAGAACCATCGACTTTACGTGAATATACTTTCTTTCTAGTATGTTTTTGCATATGCCGTCTCAGTGATGACTTTTGTGAAAAAGAAGAAATACATATATGACATGAATATGGTTTCTCCCCAGTGTGTGTTCGTATGTGTCCCACCAAAGTAGATTTCTGCATAAAAGAAATGCCACAAATTTCACAAGAATACGGTTTCTCTCCAGTATGTTTACGCTTGTGAACCCTCAAAGTTGACTGATCTGAAAAGGAAGAATTACACTCTTCACAAGAATATGGTTTCTCTCCCGTATGTGTTCGCATGTGTATCACCAAACTTGACTTCTGTGTAAAGGAAGAGCTACACACTTCACAAGGATATAGTTTCTCTCCAGTATGACTCTGCTTATGTGCCATCAATGTTGACTTATATGAAAAAGAAGAGTTACACTCTTTACAAGTGTATGTTTTCTCTCCAGTGTGCGTTCGGATATGTACTGTCAAATGTGATTTCTGTGCAAAGGAAAAGCCACAGAATTTACAAGAATATGGTTTCTCTCCAGTATGCTTTCGCTTATGTGCTGTCAAAGCTGACAGACTTACAAAGGAAGATTGACAATGTTCACATGAATACGGTTTCTCTCCAGTGTGTATTCGCATGTGTATCACCAAACTTGATTTCTGTGTAAAGGAGGATCCACAAATTTCACAATATACTCTCTCACCAGTATGAGTTTGCTTATGTACCATCAAGCTTGAATGATATGAAAAGGAAGAGTCACACTCATCACAAGAATATGGTTTTTCTCCAGTGTGTGTTCGGATATGTCGTTTCAAGTTTGATTTAGATGATAGGGAAAATCCACACACTTCACAAGAATATGCTTTGTGCGCACTTTCAATTTGAATGCATCTTTTCAAAGTCTCAGAACAGTATTTTTTTTCTGAGTAGTTTTCCATATTTTGTGTATTTCAAGTCTCAAATAAAATGTATTGAAATCCACTGATATGCTGGAACATCTATAAAAAAAACAAAATATAAATATATACATATATATATATAAAATATGATATAGTAATGCAGGAAATTAATTGGATTATATTAACTTGTTTATATTTCAATGGAAAGCATTTCCATATGCAAATTTCTTTTTATTATAGGTCAGGTTAGGCTTAGGTCTGCTACTGGTAACATGTAACCCAGTACAAGATAAATAAAAGATAAGAACTGATAATTGTACTACAAGCTCTTTACAAGAAACGTTATATAAAACATTTTCTTTTAAACAATTTATTTTTTACTTGTGACTTCACTCTGTCCGAACCAAACCAATTCAACAATTCCTGTCAATAATGCCTTGTAATCTAAATCAAACACAATGTGGGGTAAGGCAAGGCTTGGATTGAATTGATCCATTCAACAGTCAGTCACGGGTATTGAACATTGACCAAACCAATGGGGCAGACATCATAATAACTTTGTTGCTAGCTGAGCTACCAAGTACCATTTTTTATGGTCTATCAACCTCTTTATGTCAGGCTTTTAGATATATTGAAAATAAAATTTTTGTTTGCGATAACTAGTATGATTTACCTGTACCAAAGAAGATATGAAAATCATATTTCATCCAGAGGGGATCTTGAAACTTTTGATCAATATCTTACCAGAGTAAATGAAAATGGAAGGGCGTCCTAGATAAGGTGATAAACTACGTCCAACAGCAAGGCCTCTGATCAGGTTGTGAGGAGTGTGGAATCATCTCTTAATTGCTGGTGTTCCCAGGTCCACCCTGACCCCGGGGGGGAGGGGGGTAGCACCTGTTAGGGTCCCAACTATGGACAAATAGTTAACCCTTAAACTGGAGTCAAAACACTATAAAAGTGTAAAAATAGGTATTAATACCAGCAATAAATTTTTTGAGGAAAAATTATTGCCAGCAACACATTTTTGAAAAAAATAAATATTACCAGCAATACATTTTTGAGGAAAAAATATTACCAGCAATAAAAATCTTGTTGGCATTAAATTGACCTATTGAGGTTGATGTGCTGTAAAACAAAACAAACCAAACCAAAAATGGAAGGAAATAAAAATGTAGATGACGATGTCTTTTTGTCAGCATGAATCAAATAATGACATAGCCACAAATATTCAACACAGTGTTACCGACAGAATTTTAAAACTTGATTATCAACAAATTTTATTTATTTATTTAATATTAGGCACCAGCAAAAAAATAAATAAATAAAAAGAGATACCTAAAGTTTAAAATACATTTTTAAAAAATGAAAAATCCTTCTTGAGACTTTTATTTTAGTTTTTATTTTCAGTTCCAAGGTAATAGATTAAATTTAATATTTCAATAAGCAAAATATTTTTCTGTATTTCAAACTGAATTTAAACTCTAGACTATTTACATTATTCGGACAATTGTCCTCATCTTCATTGTCATATTTACCTCAACGTTTTGGTCATTGTAGGCTCTGGCCTTCTTCTGATAACTGAAATCCATTATTAGACATGGCACGTGGAACTAGAACAGTCTACAGTAAAAAATACTGTCACTTCTGTCTTTCCGTCCATTCTTGAAAATTTCTTTAGCTTTTGAAAGCTTAAAATAGGCATGTTCAATAATTCGCCAAAACAAAATAAATAAATAAAAGTAAAACTAAAACAGCATGATGAAAAAAAAAGGCCCCAACTTAATAAAAACAGTTTTTTCGTGAAAAATTTCATGTTATTAATAAAAGGAAAGACCAAAGTATTTTTTAATTATTGTTTAAATTTTTTTATTCCTTTCTAACACGTATGAAATTTTGGTTGAAAAACTTTTTTTTTTTTTTTTTTACACAGGGCTTTTTTTACTTGAAAAACACATAATTTGGAAATTCTTGCAAAAATCAAATAATTGTCGGATTTTAATGAAACTTTCATAATTTATTAAAAAATGAATCAAATTATTTTAAAAATGTTTGTCTTTTAGAAAGTCATGGTAAAAATATTTTTTTTACATCTGTCCCCACCTTAATTTTATGAAAACTCGAATAGGAACATCTCTGTAATTTTTTAATTAAATGCAAAAGACTTTGAAAAATATAAAAATCATCGATTTATTTATTTATTTTTGTAAATCGAAGACCGTTTCTACCCCAAATTTAGCTCTAAATTGTAAAATACAAAACGCCAAAACTAAATGTCTTCTATAAATGTCTGAAGCCAAAATATTTTTTCAATGAAAAATGATCGATTTCGTGTAAAAATTTTGCTGA